TAGTCTCACTGTCCTTAGTTCCCTTAGGCAATTAGGGAATCCAGACTTGTAGAAGTGTCCTTAGGTGTGAACTAGGAAGCAGAGAGAAGCATAAGAGAACCTCAGCCCACTGATGAGAGGGTCTTCTTATCCCCAAATCCTTTTCTCGTAGGCAGGTCATAATTTCTCACTGCTCCAGGTTATATGGCTGCCTTGCTAGCCTGAGTCTTGGCTCCCTCACTTGAGGGGTCAGACCCCTCTCAGACCAGGAGACTTGGGAGCTCAGATCAAAGCCATAGTTCGGCACCATGGACAGCACCATCCCATTGCCTGCAGCTCACCAGGTCTACAATCATTCTTGGGAGGACAGGTATCCTGTTGTGTGCTGAGCCACCTTCACTGCATCCCAGACAAATTGGTTCAAGATAAGGCTGGGTGGAGGGATGTGTTCAGTATATCCCAGTAAACAAAGGATCTGTACACACACCTCCTTTTTAGGTCATCACCCCACAGTCCTGGGAATTGGTATCAACTACCCTGATGTATGATGTCTCCTGGAGTTTGTGTGACCATAGAAACCATCCAGCTCAATGTCTCCTATGAGTGTAGGGCCAGGACTCCCAGCACCCTGAGTGCAGTAGGGAATCCAAAGAGAGTTCAGGGCTTGGGATACTCAAAGCTTGGTTCCTGAGGACCAGGCTGAGGAGGGGGAAAGAAGGATTCCCGATTCCATCTTCTATGCTGTTTCTGTGTCTCTAGAAGGGGGGGAGGACCAACGCTCATTCCACCCTTCACCATCGAAGAAGGAACTACTACATTTCATTCCAGATATTTCATTCCCATGGACATCATTGTCTTTCAAGAACATAGTCCAGGTAAGAAAGAATATTTTTTCTCTATGACTAGTTGGGAGCAGGGTCTCAGCCACCCCATAAGAGAGCTGGATTCCCAAGTTCACATGATGAGAAGGATGATGTCATACATGGGATGTCCTCACTCCCCCATAGTCAAATTTCTGCCCACAAACCTTCCAGATCAAACCATAATGAACTCAAGAGCTCCACTGAAATTCCCTCAGATATCACAAGATGAAGGCTTGGGGGCCAAGGGACAGGAGAATCAGCACAAAGTAGTCAGAGGATAAAAGACAGATAGGTCTTGGAACCCAGAGTTTCTCTGGGAAAGGGAGACTCCAAACACTGACTCTTGAACAGTAAATGTCTCTCTAGTCAATGGATTATAAACTATTTCACGCGAATTATTTGCCCTCGGGAAAATATAGGGGATTTAAAATAGGATAAACGTGAATTCAACCTTGGTTTCTCCACTTACTAAGGGAATGACAATTGGAAATGGTATCACTCTTCTGTGCCTTAGTTTCCTGCTCTGTAAAGTGGGTAGATAAGAAACCGCATCTCACAAAGATGTTGAGACACACATAAAGCACTGTGGGGCCGGCCCGTGGCTTAGCGGTTAAGTGCGCGCGCTCCGCTACTGGCGGCCCGGGTTCGGAACCCCGGGCGTGCACGGACGCACCGCTTCTCCGGCCATGCTGAGGCCGTGTCCCACATACAGCAACTAGAAGGATGTGCAGCTATGACAGACAACTATCTACTGGGGCTTTGGGGGAAAAAAATAAAGAAAGAAAAAAAATTAAAAAAAAAAAACAAAACACTGTGTACAGGTCCTTGTATGAGCTGTGTATTCATTGCATGCTGGTTCCTTATCCCTTGAAAATGCAAGTTCCTGCTGGCAACTAATGCTGATGCTACAAGTACCAAGTCCCATTAGGTGTTGAATGAGCACAGGACATTTCAATAAAATGAACTAAAATTTCACCAGCAAAATCCAAACCAGGAAATGAGTAAAACATCACACCATACACATGTACGTGGGCTCGAGTGAAAATAATTAGAAGTTTGTAGTGTGGCACTGAAAATTTCCTGACTCTGAAGAGTTACTTCTTCTCAAGAAGCAGGAATCAAGAGGGAGAACTTAGACTGTTTCACTCCTAGTTTTGCTTTGGGCTCTTTCAGACAAGCGCATTGGAATGGTGGTGGTGACTGGTGCTGGACGTCTGACCCCTCAGGGCTCTCTATGTAGCATCTCTCTCCATCAGAGTCCCCCGGATTCCTTACACAGATGTCCAGGAATCCACGAGGCAGGAGTGTAAGCTGCCAAGCCTTCTTAATATCAGAGCTATATGAGTCACAGAACATCTTGTCCTCCACGTTCTTTTGGTCAAACAGTCATGAACCCAATCCAGGTTCAAGAGGAGGAGATAATAATGGCAAACACCATCTTGCAATGAGATGAGTGCCATGTTTGCATAAAGGAGGGGAGGAATTGTTTGGTGTTGTCTTTGGAAACTTGTCCCTACAGCTGCTCACCTGTCTGAGTGCCATCTGTCTCCTCCATTTGAGGAGGGATCACCCCTCTTTGTCAGGGATGTTGGGAAAATGAAATGGGAACAGATATGTAAATGGACAGCACAAAGCCTTCACCTATCCTGCCCTTGGACCTGTGACAACAGTCTCATATTGTCCATAAGACATTCCTGAGGGTAGACATAGAGGAGAAACAGAGGTGTTTTCCTCCCCTGAGTTCCTCCCCCCAGGTAGACCTGAGCCCTGCCCAGAACATCTGACATCTTGACACTCCTGACTCCAGACACAAGGTCCTTGTGCTGTGTGATCAGGCCCCTCCACAGAGCTGCAGACATCTCCGAAGTCAGCACTCACCTCTGAATCAACACTACAGACAGCACCATAGACCTTTCCTAGGAATCCCCAAGAGCCAGGTAAGTCCTGGGAAGAGGGAGCATCCTCTATGCACGGTGACCTGATCCCTTCTGGGGCAGAGGTGTGGCTGGTCAAAAACAGAGCACATAACTTGGTGGCTGGCAGAGGATCTCCACAATGGTGGAGTGAGTGAGATTGAGAATATGATACTTGAGAGTCTAGGAATTTCCAGGGTACCAGGATCACCTGTGGAATTCACATCCCTTGTAACTGCCTGAGAGTCCACTCTGCGTCTACTTGGCCCATTCCACCCTGAGACTCACCTTTCAGTCTAGAAGAGCAAGAGCCTCTCCCTCCCCAGCCTGTGCTCCCCTCTCTTAGCCTTCTACACTATGGCTCTGGAATTGTCAGGTAACCTGTGTGTCTCACAACCAGGTATTGGCCTCTTCAAACGCAGGGGCTAGATCTGTCACATTCACCCCTTTACTGAAAAACTGAATTCACAGTGTACATGGTTGGTGAATGAATGAATAACTAAATGAATGAAATTTCCCCTCTCATCTCATGGGAACAGTTGAGAATTCTTCCCTCTCATGTTGACATAAACTTCCCGTCTCTCAGCTAGTGAAACTTGGGCAGACAAAGATTGATGAAGTGGGTCCTGGTGCAGACAATGGTGCATAAGACAGAGCCCCTATGTGATTTGGCCAATTCACTTGTCCACTCTGGACCTGAGTGTCTTCTTCTTCAAATTGGAGAAGTGGGGCTAGAAGGCCCCACGGCTCTGATGGCCTGTGGATCTTAAGTTCCTCTTTCGCAGAGTTACATTCTCTGTGGCTTCCTCAAGACTCCCCTTCCCATTCTTCTGCTTTTCTTTGCAAATTGGGGACCACAGGAAACAGAATGGGCATGGCCAATCCCTTCTCACAACAGATGCTGTAACTGGCCCTGCAAGGAGAGAGCGAGTAGCCAGAACAAGGGGGCCCAGGATGGGGATGGGGCTGCAGGCTGTGATTCCAGCTGACAATGCAGGAACTGGTGATGGTGTGGGAGTGTCCATGCAGGCTCCAACCCCGCACCTTCCTTCTCCATGATCATTGCACTGACTCTCCTCCACGTTTTGTGTAACAGTTCTGAGAAGGGAAAAATATGGGATGGGCAGATTCATGAAATTGAATAGAGGAAAACAGATTGTAATTTTTTCTATGTATACAAAGTCTTAAAATAACATGTGTGAAGCCATAGTATTAAAGGCAGAATGCTTGATGATAAAACTACAGAGAAAAGCAGGGAAACAATTGGCATTACAGTGGGCCTGGGGTTCCTTGGTTGAAATGGGGTGTCGGGATAGGGAGGGGATGAGGGGGAGATCCTGGGTGCTCCCAATGTTCTGCTCTTGGGGGGTCTTCATTTTGTGAAAAATCACTCAGTTGTTCTTTTGGGGGCACTTCTCTGTATGTGTCTTATGTTTCCCTTAAAAAACATTTCAAGAAAACCCACATGGGTCTGAGGAAGCACCACTTCCCAGGATCCCACCACTTCCTCCCAGCCCCTACCACAAAGTTAAAATAACCTTCAGTGAACTCAGGTGCATGTCTCTTCTCTCATGAAATCCTCACCATCCCTGAGGGTGGATGACCCCCAGCCTAATGTCACTCACTCTGTCTCCTGTACGTGTCTCCATGTCTTCCCATCACAGGGAGGTCCTGGTGCCAGGACACCTATTGTCACCCCACTGGACAATGACTCTCAGGACAGTGTCCATGGCTGGTGTGTGACCTCGAGAGCATAGAGGGGATGCCCACCATGTGGGTGCTGAGGGAGTGAGGACAGTCGGCCTTCCTCATCATCCGGGTCCCTGAGTTGCAACTCTGGCTGGACCAACCACCACAGGTATCTACAGCCTGTGAGTCAGTAGGTTTGACCAGAAGAGACGTATTTCGCTTTGCAGAAAATGACCTTCCAAGGGGAAGTGCATCCATAGGGAGGCAGGAGATGGGGTTCAGGCCCCGAATAGGGTGTGAATTTGGGTGAGGTTCTCACCCTCCCTGGACAAGGCTCCTCAGGAGTGGACATGGGAGGTGGATGGTTGACTCCAAGGGCTGTCTTGGTCCCAACAGTGTTTGGGGGTGAAATTCCTCCTCTGAGCAGGGTCACTGTTCTGACCTCACCCACATCTTCTTGTTGGAGCCTCCTCTAAATCTGAAACTTTTAGTTCCTGAGACAGAACCCTGAGAAACGGACTGTCCCTGGCGGAACCTGAGACTGTCAACCCCAGACATGCTTCTGCTTCAGCTGCTCGCCCTTCTCTGGTGGAGGGAGGGGGCCGAGGGCCAGGGGAGGCCCAGGAAAAATTACAAGGATTACAAACTGCAAGTGCAGGGGTTGGTGACGGTGCAGGAGGGTCTGTGTGTGCGGGTGCCCTGCTCCTTCTCCTACCCGCGGGATGGCTGGAATGTGTCTACTCCAGCTCATGGCTACTGGTTCCAGGAAGGAGCCAGTACAGACCGAGATCTTCCAGTGGCCACAAACAACCCTGATCAAAAAGTGCAGGAGGAGACCCAGGGCCGATTTCACCTCTTTGGACACCCTCGGACCTACAACTGCTCCCTGGACATCAGAGATGCCAAGAGGAGGGACAGTGGAAGATACTTTTTTCGGGTGGAGAGAGGAAATACAAAATTTGATTACAAATTTAACCGTCTCTTTGTGCATGTGTTGGGTAAGGAGTGGACTCCAGGAGAGGCCACAGGGAAAGGACATGGGGGTTCCAGGGCAGGCCTGGGATAAGACCCCACTTCAGGGAGGTATTGAGGGTACAGCATATTGGAGCTTAGAGAGAGGATCTGGACCAAAGTCTGAGGCTTCTCTCATGGTGGCAACTCAGACCCTACCTCCTGATCCCCATGTGTCTCCATCTCCTCACCAGCCCTGACCCACACACCCCTCATCCTCATCCTGGGGACCCTGGAGTCTGGACACCCCAGGAACTTGACCTGCTCTGTGTCCTGGGCCTGTGAGTGGGACACACTGCCCATCTTCTCCTGGACGTCAGCTGCCCTCACCTCCCTGGGCCCCAGGAACCACCTCTCCTCTGTGCTCACCCTCACCCCACGGCCCCAGGACCATGGTACCAACCTCACTTGTCAGGTGAAGTTCCCTGCGGCTGGTGTGACTGTGGAAAGGACCATCCACCTCAACATGTCCTGTGAGTGCTGGGCCAAAACTGCTGGTACCTTATTGGTGTCCTGAGGGCCTCGGGTGTGGAGGTGTCAGGGCCTCAGACACCAGTGTGAGGTCCTAGAATCCAGGCTGAGGGGCATCAGGAGGATGCCCAACTCCACCATTCCCCCGTTTATGCAGCTCCTGGGGACAAGGACCCATGTCCACCCAGCCCTCACCACTGATGGGCAGCCACCATGTCTTTCTGTCCCAGACTCTCCACAGAACTTGACCGTCACTGTCTTCCTAGGAAACAGCACAGGTAGGAACAAGCCACCTCCTGGGCTGGAGGGAGCAGGACCTCTGCCAGCACAGGGCAGTGCCGGTCCCGGCCTTACCCTGGACTCACCCTGGCGACCAGAGACCCTCTTGTGGTTGAACCCGGTGGTCCCTCCCATTCTCAGCCCCCATGGCCACAATGAGCAGCTGTCCCCATCGGCCCCTCACTCCCCTCAGACATCTCTACCATCCTCAACTGCACAAGGAGAACAAGAAAATATTCACAAGGTAGACCCCACCTCTCGGGCTCCTTATCATTCATCTTCTGATGACCCTTCAGCCTTGTCTTTTTATTTTCCCTAACAATTGCTTATTTAAGTACTTTTGAAAGGTAATGTATTCTCATGGACAAAAATCAAAACGTTAAGACAGAGTCTGTCCTTCTGATGCCCAGTTCCCTACTGGGACGTGACCAGTGTCCACAGGCTGCTCTGAGCCTTGCTTTGTTCACCCAAAGAATCTTAGGGGTCATTTGATGTCAGGAGTACAGACTGTCCTCATTCTTCTCCGTGACTGTGCTGTATTCCATGGATGGATTCTGATTTGTATGCATCTTCTGTTAATGGAAAAATCAAGCCATTTATTTTATTCCAGCAGTTCTAGTTAGAAACAGAAACACTGCAATGAACCATCTTGTATCTCCTTTCACAAGTGTGTTTGTGTGTGTCTGTAGGATAGTTCATAAAAAGAAAATAGAGCTGCTTCATATGTTCTATGCAACTTTGCGAGATAACGCCAAGTTGTTCTGCATGGAGGGCGGACAAGTTTACCTTCCCACCAGTGAAGGGTGAAAGTGTGTGTTTTCTTGCACTTCAACTTATATCTGTGTGTCCGTCCTGTTTAGCCTCCTTCTGCATCCTTCCACTTTGTCTCCATCTCTTTGTCTCTCTGACCCTCCGTCTCTTCTTCTCCAGCACCCACAACCCTGAAGAATGGGTCATCTCTTTCAGTCCTGGAGGGCCAGTCCCTGCGCCTGGTCTGTGTGGTCGACAGCAACCCCCCTGCCAGGCTGTGCTGGGCCCACAGGAATCAGACCCTGAGCCCCTCACAGCCCTCAAACCCTGGGGTCCTGGAGCTGCCCCAGGTGGAGTCGGGGCATGAGGGTGAATTCACCTGCCAAGCTCAGCACCCTCGGGGCTCCCTGCACGTCTCCCTCAGCCTCTCTCTGCAGAGTGAGTGCACCGGTGGATGGGGGAGGGGCTGGAAGAGGAGGGCAGCACCCACCCCACCCCACAGTCCAGCCAGCAGCCCCCTGAGCTTCAGAGGGGAACTCAGCTCTGCTCTGTGCTCGGCTGTGAGGCCCGGAAATTCCCTGGAACTCAGAGGGTCACTGTCGTCTTCCTGCCGGGACAGGGCTGTGGGGTGGGTTGAGGGCTGGAGGGGGAGCCAGGGAAGGAGGTGGGTCTTGGAGAAGAGGGGCTGGGGCCTGGACAGATGTGTCTGGGGACACAAGGTCCCTGCTTTGCAGAGCCAGGTGGGTTGGGCGAGTGAGGCACTTCCCATGGGCCCAAAATTTAAGGAGAAGCCAAAAAAAACTCAGCAATCAAGAGAAATAATATGCAATCCTCTGTTCAAATATAAATGAGTGCAAAATAAATGCCACAATGAACAAAATGTCAACGTTTTGAATCAAGACAGGCTGCAACCCAGCTCTTGTATTCCTCACTCTCTTCACCCTGACCCCTGCCCCTCCCCCGACCCATCTCCCTGTTTTTGCACCTGGCAAAGGGGCCTGAACACAGAAGTGTGGGGTCCTACAGGGACTGAGAGGAAAAGAGACCAAGCTCTCAGAGGAGAATCGCTAATAATCCAATCCTCTGCAGGAAAAGCGTGGTCTTTATCAGGAGTGGCGCTGGGTGCAGTCTGGGGAGCAAGTGCTAAGACTCTGCTCTTCCTGTCCTTCTGCGTCATCGTCATCATGTGAGCAGGGACCTGGGGAGGGAGGGAGAGCCCTGGGGTGGGAAGGGCAGGCAGCCACGGATGCCTGAACCCAGAGCCGGAGGGACTGGGTGGGTCCAGATCCTGAATCAAGGGCAGGTCCCCTGACACCCGGGTGAGTCTGTCACAAACCTCTGGCCCTAGTGTCCAGGAGGGAGGAACCTGTGCTTTCAACCCTGAGGTCTCTGGGACAGGAGCCCTCTCCCACCTCAGTCACCCTTCCAGCCCATTGAGAGAGAGCAGAGGAGGGGTCAGTCTGTCCACTGCACCCTGAGCTGGTCAGACTGAGAGGTTCTCTGGTCTCTTCACTCAGAGTGAGGTCCCGCAGGAAGAAAGCAGCAAGGCCAGCAGTGGGCTTTGAAGGCATGGACATGGAAGGTGCAAACCCTGACACAAGGTAAGTTCCTCAGGTGAATGACCTGGGCATCTCCCCATCTGGAATTTTGCCTGGATTCCTCCCCCAGGATGGTTCCCTGGATTGCTCCACTCGGCAAGGACAAGGCTGCTCTAGTCATCTCCTTCTCCTCCTCCCCTCAAGTCAGATCCTCATCTTGCTGACAGCATGACAACCCCTCCTCTTTCCTTCAGACCATGCAGGGATGAGTCACCATCTCTCTACCCTCCCTTCTTCTGCTACAGCCAAAAATTCACCACGTCTTGTCCATTTTTCCTCCTAAGAACTGCTAGCATCAGTCTCCCTCTCTCCATCTTGACCCACGTCATTGCTGAGGCTTTAGGATCTCTTTCCTGGACCCCTCATCTCCCTGCCTCTCGTCTCTCTTGCTCTACACAGAGTGATCATTTAAAAGCCATCATTGTCCAGTTCCTCTGCTTTTGAACATCTCTTTGCCCCCATCATCTACAGCAGAGGCCGGCAAATTTTTTCTACCAAGGACCACAGAGTAAATATTTTTGGCTTTGTGGTCCATTGAGTCTCTGTTGCAGTGTTGCAACTGTGTTGTTGCAGCATGAAATAGCCATAGACCATATGTAAATGAATGAGCATGGCTATGTTCCAAGAAAACTTTATTTACAAACACAGGAAGTGGGCCTGATTTGATTCACAGGCTGTATTAGTTTGCTGACTCCTGACCTAGAGAATAAAGCTCCAACTCCTCAGCCCACAGCCCTGCATATTCTGACCTTTCTGCACCCACCTCTCCAGGAGGGCCAGGGTTAGGGTGAGGAGAGTGAGGCACTTGCCTGAGATACAAAGTGTAGACAGGTGCCCAAAATAGCAGTATTCAAGATAATATGTTAATGTAGTATTTAAAAAAAATCAAAATTAATAAAAAGAAACCATGGTGAGAAAAATATCAAAAATCTAAATAATAGAAGAATCAGCAGACTGAAGTTACTTAATAATTATTTAAGATCATAACTTGGTCAGCAGAAATTTTCACACGTGGCAGCATTCTCATTTGAAAATGAGAGCATCAGAGAAGGAGATTTTGAAAATATTCTCTCTGCATTTGCTTCCAGAAAGCCAGGAAAGCAAAATTATAACAAATTCTGATTTGGGTACACATATAATCTTTCAACTTAATGTTTTAATATACAACACTTTTCAAGTTTTCAATCATGTTTCAATTATTTCAATATTCTGGAAAAAACGAGCACTAAAAATACGTGAAAACCTGTATATCTTTAGGGCACAGGTTTCTTCTGCCTCAGGCTCCAATTGGTTCAGAAGGGCACTCTTACTAATCCTGGGTTATTTACATTTTTGATTTTTTTTCTCCATGTGTTTTCTTTCTTTCTTTCTTTTTTTGCATTTATTTTCATTTTAAAAATGTTGCAAAAAAATGTTTTTAGGGCACTGTTCCCACGACTTAGTGGTTAAGTTCAGTGTGCTCTGCTTCGGTGGCTTGGATTTCCAGGGTCAGCTCCTGCGCGTGGACCTAGACCACTTGTCAACCATGGTGTGGCAGCGTCCCACGTGCAAAATAGAGGAACACTGGCACAGATGTTAGCTCAAAAACAAACAAGCAAACAAAAAACAATGTTATTTACCTCAACTAATGAAGCATTTGGCTCCCCTTTTAATTTTGCATTTTGGGCAAGTGGCTCACTTGCCTCACCCTGATCCTAGCCCCACTCTCCAGTCCACTGCCTCCACTGCCCCATCTCCCAGTCATATCCGTCCACCTGGACTTTTCATCGTCATCAACCAGAACAAGGTTTCTTGCCTCTGGGTCTTTGCATAGGCTGTTCCTCCTTTAATGCTCTTCCCTCCCCATTTCCACTCATTCATTCCTATTCAGCCTTCAAGCTCTGATGGACTCACTTTTCATTATTTATTGTATTCAGAGTGTGACTTGAAGCCTTTGGAAGGTTTTGAGTGGCAAGGTAACATGCATCTATTCATTCATTAATTCCTTCAGGAAATGTTTTTGAGCACCTACCAACTGGGAAGCAGTGTAGGTACCAGAGACCTGTCTATGAAAAAAATTTAAAATCTTGGCTCAGTGAGGTTTTTTCTAGACAGAGGAGGATAATCAAACCAGTAAAAAAAAAAAAAAAAAAAAACAGAAAACAAATAAGTGAGTAGAATGTGCAAGATAGATGTGTACTTTGGGGAAAAGGCAGCGCACAGGGAAGAGGGAGTGTTGGGGAGATGACTTGTGCAGTGCTCTTGGGATTTATTTATTTGTTGTGGTGAAAATCACAGAACATAAATTTACCATCTTAACCACTCTTAACAGTACAGTTATGCCACAGATCTCTAGAACTTTTTAATCTTACAAAACCGAAATTCTGTACCCGTTGAAGAACATCCCAATTCCCCCACTACCCCAGCCCCTGCAACCACCATTCTGCTTTCTGTCTCTATGGGTTTGACTACTCTAGTTACCCCATATTAGTGGAATCATGCAGTGTTTGTCTTTTGTGACCAGTTTATTTCACTTAGCATAATGTCCTCAAGGTTCATCCATGTTGTAGCATGTGACAGGATTTCTTTCTTTTTAAAGACTGTTTAATATTCCATGGTACGTATACACCACATTTTCTTTATTCATTCCTCTGTTGATGAATATTTGGGCTGCTTTCACATCCTTGCTACTGTGAATAATACTGCAATGAACTTGAGTGTGCAAATATCTCTTCGAGATTCTGCTTTCAATATTTTTAATAAATACTCATAAGCGGGATTGCTAGATCATATGGTAATTCAAGTTTTAATATTTTGAGGAACTTCCACAGTGTTTTCCATAGTGGCTGCACTGTCTTACATTCCCATCAACAGTGCACAAGTGTTTGAGTTTCTCCACATCTTCACCAACACTTGTTATTTTTTGTTTTATATAGTGGCCATCCTAATGAGTGTGAGGCGATACCTCATTGTAGTTTTGATTTGCATTTCTCTAACCATGAGTGATGTTGAACACCTTTCCATACGCTTGTTCACTATTTGTACGTTTTCTTTGGAGGAATGTTTAATTCAAGTTATTTACTCATTTTTAATAGAGTTATTTTGTGGCTGTTGTTGCGTTCTAGGAGTTCTTTGTATATTCTGGGTGTTAACCCCTTATGCAATACAAGATTTGCAAATATTCTTTCCCATTCCATAGGTTGGCTTGTGGTTTTGTTAGTGACATTTGAACAAAGGCATGAAGAAGGCTCAAGAGTTTGCAATCTGACTGTGTGATCCAAGAGCCCTCCAAGCAGAGGGAACAGCAGGTGCAAACACTCAGACACAGGAGGCTGACCAGTGAGTGAGGAGCAGCAAGGACTTCTGAGTGATTACACAGAGGGAGGCAAGAGCCAACAAGCAGGAATTGATTTTGGGGAAGTCAGCGTGTGAAATCATGTCTGCACATATAGGACACTGTGGGAATCAGGAGACGTTTGGTCAGAAGAAGGACATGATCCAACTTTCATTTTCACAGGACCCTCTGGCTGCTGTGTGCAGAGAGACTCTGTGTGTCAGGGAAGTTAGAAAGGGGGCTGGTGAAACATTCCAGGCAGGAGATAATGTTGGCTGGAACCAGGATGGCAAGAGGGTGGGGCCTGATTTGATTCTGGGTGAATTTTGAAGTTAAGGCTACTGAGAATTGCTAATAGATTGGGAATGGGGTGTGAGTGACAGAAAGGGGTCAAGGATGACTCCTAGATTTCTGCACTGAGCAGCCGGAAGAAGGGAGGCACCGATCACTGAGGTTGAGAGGATTGGAGGAAGGAATTTGGGGGAAAAAAGAAGTTCAGTTTGAATATGTTGAGTTTTCTGTTTGTTTTGACAAGGGAATGGGCATTTCAAGTATATCTTTGGATCAAAGTCTTTCCAGAGAGGAGAAGGAGCTGGAGGTACGGATTTGAGTGTCATCAGCCTATGGATCAGATGAAGCCAATACAGTGGATGAGATCACAAAGCAAAGTTGAAGAAGGAAAGAGTCCCGGGCTGCTCCAGTATTACGGGCCTAGGGAGATGGGGAGCAACCAGCAGGGGGCTGCCAGTGAGGTCAATGGACCCGGAATGTGTGATGTCTTGTACTTAAGTCTAAAGGGGCTTTCCTTTAGGGCAGGTGTGCGATTAGGTCACCTGATGCGGCAAAGTTCAGAGAGGTGAGGACTGAAAGATGGCCACTTGGATTTCACCAGCAGAGACCACTGGTGTGCTTGATAACAGCAGCGTAGGGAAGTGGTTGTGTGTGTGTGTGTGTGTGTGTGTGTGTGTGTGTGTGAATCTCAATTTAAATAATCAAGAGAATGGGAGGGGCAAAAATGTTAACAATTCTGGTGAAGTGTTCTCTTGTCAAGAGGAGCAGCAAAGAAGGATGCTCTCCAGGCAGCACATGTCACCCTCCTCCATGTGAGTCTGTATTAGATTCTTGTTCCTTATGTAATGAATTAATACAAATTTAGTGGCTTCCAACAACATAAATTTATTGTCTTACAGTTCTGGAGGTCACAAGTCCAAAATGGGTTTCACTGGGCTAAAATGAAGGCATTGGCAGGCAGGGCTACGTTCCTTCTGGGGGCTCCAGGGGAAAATGCATTTTCTTGCCTTTTTCAGCCTCTAGAGGGCGCCTGCCTTCCTTGGGCCATGGCTCCTTCCTCTCCATCTTCAAGGTCAGAAGCACAGTGTCTTCAAATCTCTCTCTGCCTCCTTCTTTCACATGTAAAGACCCTTGTGATTACATTGGGCCTGTCCACTTAATCCAGGAGGATCTCCCCATCTCAATATCCTTAACTTAACTCCATCTGCAAAGTTCCTTTTGCCATGTAAGGTAACACATTCAGAGTTTCCTGGGGATTAGGGCTTGGACATCTTTAGGGGCTGTTATTCTGCCTATCACAGGGACATAATTTCTTTGACTGGCTTGTCCTCCCACCAAACTGTGAGCTTCCCGCAGGTGCCATGCTTGCATCAAGGCCCTGTAATACTTTCTTGCTTACCCAGTTCCTGTCCATCATATCATAATTCACAATTAGATATTTATTTGCTTAACTCATATTTTGCTGCCTCCCTCAATTAAAGAGTAAGCTGCAAGATGTCAGGGTCTGTGTCTGCTGTGTCCACCACAGAACATCCAGCACCCAGCTCAGGGCCTCACACAGAGGAGGCCTCAGGCTTTGAGGTCAGAAAGAACTGGATTGGATCCTCATTTTCCTCAGGGACTTTTTTTTTTTCTAGTGAGGAAGATTAGCCCTGAGCTAACGTCTGTTGCCAATCCTCCTCGTTTTGTTGAGGAATATTGGCCCTAGGCTAACATCCTTGCCTATCTTCCTCTATCTTATATGTGGGACACCTGCCACAGCATGGCTTGATATGCCATGCGTAGGTCTATGCCTGGGATCCAAAAGTGTGAACCCTGTGCCACCAATGTGGAGCACACGAACTTAACCACTATGCCACCAGGCTGGCCCCTTCGTCAGGGACTTTGAGCATGCCGCTTACTTGGTTCACCTCAGTTTTCATATCTATAAAATGGACACAATAATAGTATCTTCCTTACGGGGTTGTTGTGGGAAGTTCATGAGATTAGCAAATACCAAATAAGGTGCTCACTAAGTATTAAATATTTGAGGAAAGCATGAATGATGAGATCTCAACAAAAATGTCTGTGGGATGAATGGATGAGGCAATTCATGGGCCTCTCTCCCAGACACTCTCTGCCTTATTCTGTCCCTGCTGTTCTGCTCTGACTCCTCGCACGCCCTCTACTCAAGGTCCCATGATTGAATCCCAGGCAGACAGCCTCCCAGCCAACCCTCCCCCAGATGTGGCTGCCCTCTGCTCAGGGGAGGAAGAAGAACACCACTATACATCTTTCAGTTTTCGTGGGATGAAGCCTCAGGACCCACAGGAATGGGAGGCCGCTGGTAGTGAGTACTCAGAGATCAAGATCCACAAGTGAGAAACTGCAGAGATTCAACCCTGGCTTGAGGGATCACGGCCCCTGTGGGGCAAAGAAAAAGTCAGGGCTGATTCCATAGAGTTAAAATCCCTCTTACTAGTGCAAAGAACACAGACTTTGGAACCAAAGTATATTGAGTTTGAGTCCACACTCTGCCTCTTGACTAAGTGACAGACCAACCCCTACCTCTCTGCCTCAGTTTCCTGCTCTGTGCAACATGGAAGAGAAGCCCCACCTGCAAGGTTGTAGTGAGAATCCTTGGAGTAAAATCCTATCATAGCACCTGCCACAAAGTGTATGCTGAACGCATGCTGGATCCCGGTGCTTTAAATAGAAAGGTCCTGCTGGGATTTTCTCCCGACTCTGGTGGGGACCAGCGTCAGACCTCAGACCTTGCACACTGAGGTCCCTCCTCCTGGAATGTCCTCCCACTGGACCTTCATCTGCCTCTGTCTTTGAAAGTTGAGCTCAAGAGGTGGACTTCTGGGTTGAGATGGGAAAGTCAAGCAGCAGCTCCTGATCTCCCCTATAGAGACAAGCCAAATGAATGAGGAAAGTTCCCAAATGATCACACAACTGTCTGATGAGTGAAACAACATGATCCCCAAATTCTCCTACAGCACCTGGAAGAAGACAGGAATATATCACAGCAGTCACTTCATAAAGTAGCCTTGATGGGAAGAAATCAAAGGATTGGATGAAGCTTTAAAAACTCCCTACAAATTATCCCCTGCCCACTTACAACAGCAGCAAGAAACATAAGGCACTAAGGAACATTTTTTAAATTTAAACGTGCAATACCTCCATACTGAAAACTACAGAATATTGCTCATAGAAATTAAAGGTCCTAATGATTGAAGAACTATATCATGTTCATGGATGGGAAGACACAGTATTGCTAAGATGTCAGTTTTCTCCATATTGATTTCAAGCAATCCCAGTCAATAGACAAATATATATGAATGTGTATATATATATATATATATATAATTATACATACATATATAAATAAATATACACACACATCACATAGATGAATTGAAAAGTTGATTCTAAAATTTATTTGGAAATGTAAAGACCCAGAATAGCAAAAGAATCTTGAAAAAGAAGAACACAGTTGGAGAAATCAGACTTTACTGTAAAGTAGAGTCATAAAGAGAGTGTGCTGTGGACAGAACAGAGTCCGTAAATAGACCTACACGTTATACACGGTCCACTGAACAGCACCCAGTCTATTCAATTGGGGAGAGGAAGGACTCCTGAACAAATGTCGTAGAACTAGCAGACCAAGATTTGAAACCTATGAACCTTATAAATATTATAATTGGTTTATGTAATTCGAATCAGGTGTTATGTACTTACATGGTTTTTTCACTCAGAATTGTGCTTTTTGAGATTTATCCATGTTGTTGTGCATATCAGTATTTTGTTCCTTTATTGCTGAGTAGGATTCAGTCTACCACACTTGGTTTACTCTTTTTTCCATTGATGTATATTTGGTTTGTTTCCAGTATTTGGTGATTATGAATAAAGCTGCTGTGAACATATTTGGTCAAGAATGTGTCCAGGTGTATGTTTTCATTTCTCTCAAGTGTTGGGGGTCAGGGTCAAGATGGAGACAATGAGGTCAGAGTCACATGTTGGGAGCTCAAGGGTCTCTGGGACTCCCCATGGAGACCAGCGTCCAGCCGGCAGCTGGACACTGGGAACATCAGGGGTCAAATGATCCTGTTAATGAATGCCTGCTGTTGTAGGTTAAAATGTGTCCCCCCGAGAGGTATACTCAAATTCTCTCCCCTGGTACCTGTGAAATTGATTTTCTTTAGAGATAGGGTCTTTGCAGAAATAACAAAGTTAAGGTGACATCAGACTGGATTGGGGGATGTGGCCCTAAATCCAGTGACAGCTGTCCTTGTACAAAGAGGGAAATTTAGACACAGACACGGGGAGGCAAGAAGGTCATGCAATAAAGGAGGCAGAGACTGGAGTTATGATGCCACAAGGCAAGGAATGCCAAGGATTGCTGCCAACCACCAGAAGACAGAAAAGTCAGGGAAGGAGTCTTCCCTAGAGCCTTCCAAGGGGGCATGGCCCTGCTGAAACCTTGATTTTGATCTGTTCTCTGCAACTGTGAGACAATAAATTTATGCTGATTTAAGCCACCTAGTATGTGGTAATTTGTCAAAGCAGCCCTAGGGAGCTAACACATTCACTCAGCCCCTATTGTGCATCAATTCCTCACATATCCTGTCTCATTCAATCCTCACAGTGACTCTGAGAGGGTCAGTCCTGTCCCCATGTCACAGAGGAGGCTCAGGTGAGCTTCTCAAAGCCACACAGGCCAGCAAGTGGAGGGACCACATTGAATCCAAGTAAATGACTCCAATGGCACCATGGGGATTTAATCAGTGAGGCCCCGGGTATTCACCTTGTGTCCAGGTACTATCCTAACTGCTTTGTGAACATTCAGACAGTCAAGCATTTCCTAAGAGCAGTGACGACCACAGGAGCTATTCTAGCCACCCCCATTTCCATAGATTCAGCCAGGGAGGAGCCTCTGTCTCTCCTCTCTTTCTTTCTCCTCCCTTGCTCATTTTTCCTTCCTTTTTTTCTTTTCTTTCTACCTGCCTCCCTTCCCAGACTTCTCCTGGAGAATAGAGAAACAGATCTCCCAGCATTTCCCTCTCTTCTTTATCTGTCTGTGTCCAGCTTTGAGGTCCTGCCTGGACAATGTTTCCTCACTGCCCATTCCCAAGGGCAAGTCTATGCCTGACCTGTGATACTGGGAGAAGGTATTTTTGTCTATTGTGTTCACCAAGAACAATTCTTGACATATAATAATCTCCCAATAAATATTTTAGAAATTTAATAAAATGATGCAGTTTCTTGCAAAATCTTTCTCCAGCCCCGGTCTTTTTCCTGACCCCAGCACTTTCATAACTGTCCTGGTGTTATCTATAATGGCATCTTCAGTGCTTCCCATTTCACTAGAGCATGAGCCCGTGGGAATAAGGATTGCATCTGTTTTGACTTCCAGAGCAGTTCATAAAATTTTGTTGATAAGTGAAGTCCCAGAGAAAGCTCTGAGTCATGCTGATAGGTCCCCAGGAGGCAAAGACGAGAAAATTCAGAGTCTACCACTTTCATAGCAAGCAGTAAGTGAGCCTGCTCTTTGTCCTGGAGGGAGACATGATCTCATCCCTCAAGGTTGCTCCCTGCAAACACAGCCCTGAGAACTTTGCCAGGTAAGGAGCAGTCACAGCACCATGTTTTGGGCAGATCTAGCAAGATGTGTAGGAGTGCGAGGGACGCAGGAAGACTGTCTTTCCCAACAGGTAGTTTTGCTCTTCCCTAACGATGTGAAGGCCTCAGAGTCTTCTCATAAAATCCTGCTTCCCTAGGATAGACTAAGGTTTCTGTCGCTTGTGATCAGCATATTACTGTATAAACCTGGAGCATTTGGCTAGTTCCCATCGGAAAACCAGGACGATGCAGTGAATAGAGAAACCCCAATACTGACATTTGTCAACTCTGTGTTCTCACTTCATGCTTTGTTTGAGGAAGTTGAAAAGGAGATGACTGGAAAGGAAGTGACACTGTAGGAAAATAAAGCTTCCTTTTTTGGGCCATAAATCCATTGCCCTTTCTTCCTTCTAACAACAACCAGACTTTGGTTACTTCCTCAACTCCTCCCTGTGCCTCAAAGGACCTGGACTTCATAGTGTAGGATTCTTGTGTGAGCTTCATCAGTTTCAGTCATTCAGGTGGGAAATTGGCTGGGCAAAGTTGTTGTAGAGAAATGAGGGGGTGGGCCACTGAAAAGTTCTAATCAGGTGCATGAGATCCACTGATCTTTGTTCTTGAAAGTTTATTGCAATTGTGACATCAGAAAGAAATGGAAAAACTGGTTATCTCCAAAAGTGGTGATGTTATAGCACTTTCACTCAAAGTGGAAACAAAATGAGTGCCCAACCTCATTTGAGATATTTATTAAATATAGCACATCTCCTCTTAATGAAACCAGTGTGAATGAAATTTAAAAGACTAGAAAATATCCAGAAAAATAAATAAAATAGAATGACATAAAATCAAACCTCCTATAGGACCAAAATGAGAGGAAAAAACAGATGTCCTGGAAGAAAAGAAGGCAGTATATCAAGATGGTCATCTAATGTTGTTGTCTCTGGGGAGTAGGACATGGTGTTGATGATGTTATAGATTGTACCGCGAGAAACACATAATCACACCTGTGAGATGGTGCTTGACACAGTAGACGTTCAATCAACATTCAAGAATGAGTGAAAGTCAGCTGGTTTCTCCAAGTTCTAGATCTAAAATATTATGTATAGTAGGTATAAATTATACGTAGCAAGGTCTTCTGAGAAAACGTGTGTTTAAAACTTTCCTGCAACAAAAAGAATAAAATACCTAGGAATAAATTTAACCAAAGAGGTGAAAGATCTGTACACCGAAAACTATAAAACATTTCTGAAAGAAATTGAAGAAGACACAAAGAAATGGAAAGATATTCCGTG